TAAATATATATACACACACACACACAAAGCGCACACACACACACAAATATCTATACACACAGAAACACAAAGCGCACAGACACACATATATATATATACACACACAATGTATATACACACACACAGACACACACACATATATATATACACACACACACATATATATACACACAAAGCACACACACAGACATATATATATACACACAAAGCGCAGACACACACACATATATGTGTATACACACACACGCAAAGCGCGCACACACACACAAATATCTATACACACAGAAACACAAAGCGCACACAGACACATATATATATATATACACACACACATATAAATACACACAAAGCACACACACACAGACATATATATATATATATACACACACACACACACAAAGCGCAGACACACACATATATATCTATACACACACACACACACATATATCTCTCTCTATATATATACACGTTCACACATATATCTATATCTATACACACGCACAAGCGCCCACACTCACTTGCAGGGGGAAACTATACAGCAGGGCTGTCAAAGTTGCGGCCAGTGGGCCAGTTGTGTCACACGCTGGCCACGCCTATGCCTGGTTTAGCAAAGGGGGGGAAAGTCCACTCCCTCATGTGACGCCAGCATGATGACGAGGAGAGTTTGACAGCCCTGCTACACAGCATAACCTGCTGGTTCTCCAGGAGATCAGATTCTTCCCCATTGGATTCCTATTTCTGCTGAAGCCTTCATGCAGTGATCACTGTGCAGAAGCATTTTCTATGCAGATACCAAGTTAGTAGGCAGATGTAAATGTTAGGGGTGCCTGCATGACTTAGGGTCCTGTTGTATGAGGCTTCATCCCTTTGACTTACGCAGCACTCTTCCTGATTTCCTGATTTTATTGTACAAGGTCTGTTCATACAACACAAATGTTCTAAATTCGACGTATTATTCTGAATATATAATGGAATGGGGACTTGGGGTGAAGAGATGGAACAGTTAAATAAGAGGCAGCATATTCCACACCCGGGTAGTGCGTGAGGCAAGAGGCTCACAAGAGCCTCTCCCTAATTTGGGGGGATGTAAAGGTGATGCAGGAGAATTGTACTTTCAGACTTGTAAGATTCAGATAATGTAGCCTTACAAGAGTGGAATTAGCTCATCTGGTCATGTTTCCTGTTCGGTCCACCTGGTAAGGCTGACAGAATATGATTGTTCTTTTTCATATATGAGGTTATGTTCAGCAAGCTTGCCATCTGCTTGGTCTAATTATTATTTTAAAAAATTACAAAACAGGAACTAAAAGAGAAACACAGCAAGCATGTGACTTATCCACCTGCTGCGGGCTCTTCAAATCTCCTAGCAGTGGGTGGGAACAGTATAATGTCTATCAAAAGGATTACTTAGAGCTAAATTTATACAGACACCATTTTGGCTTTGATCTCAATGAATCAAATCCACCGTTTTACCATACTTCACACTAAACAGTTTTTTTCTAAATTCGTTTTAAGTACCTAATTTTTGATGGATTGCCTGTTCATTAGTTTGATGCGTTCATGAAATGCTGACATTAAATTTACTACACTTTGGCAACAAATATAGAAGACAACTTCGGTTGTTAAACTGAACCAGAATGAAATCAAGATTCACCTGTTCAGTGCCTAATGGGAATGTTACTACCATACCTGGTTGCTTTTCCTGGCCAAGCAACAATTAAGCAAAAAGGCTGTATATGAAATCAGAGGCACTTAGCTTCTGAAAACCTCCAAAAGTTATTGCCAGTGGAGAGGGGGAGTTATACTATCCTTGTAATAAAAGATGCCAAATGCAAATCAAAGCCACTTTAATTTCTGTCCTTGGTAGAGGGGCTCACTGCTCAAAATGTCAAAGAGCCAGGGCAAAAAAAAACTGGGACTAATGACGTCATTCAAAGAGCAAATAATAAGCTGTGCAGTTGGCTATGGAAAATAAAAAATGCACTCAGTACTTGGGGAAAAAAATCCTACTGGGTTCCATCGCCTATGTGAGCGGCAGTGACTGCCTTGCTGAGAAACCGATGGGATTTGGCTTCCAGTAGGGCTGTGATTCGGGAACGCCGTCAGGGGCTAACCTAAAGGGTCCCGGGTTTCCAGGCACTCAGGTTCCAGCCAGGACGGCGCGAGTTCAACGAGCCTGAAGCTCCTTCGGTTCGGCGGGATGCGGCCTCCGGTGGCGCAAGAGCTCCCGGCCCCACCCGCCTCCTCCTCTTCCCACACCCGCAGCTGGAAAAGGGGAGGCGTGGCGGCGGCGGCGGCGGCGGCTCCCGCCTGAGACGGGAGCCGCTCGTTTGGGGCTGCCACACGCGCCGGAGACCGCCGCAGGTACGAGCGGAGCTGAACCAGGGCGGAAAGCAGAATCTACCTGGACCCCGAGGCGGGGCAGGCGGGACGGGAGCTGCACCCCGGCGCGAAGCCCGGGAGGGAGTGGGTGGTGGTGGTGGTCGGCGAGGGGGATGGCGGGCTGGGCGTAGGAAGGTCTTGCACGGCTGGCGCGGGTGTGGGGGGCATGCGGCGCCCCGGCTGATGCTGCCTCCGCGGGGCGGCCGCCTGCTCGCCATGAAGCGGCAGAACCTCCGCACGGTCTCCCTCATCGTCTGCGTTTTCTCCTATCTGCTGGTGGGCGCCGCCGTCTTCGATGCGCTCGAGGCCGAGGCCGAGGTCGGCCACAAGCGCCTCCTGGAGCAGAAGCGCAGCGACCTCCGAAAGAAGTACCGCTTCTCGGCGGAAGACTACCGGGAGTTTGAGCGGCTGGTCCTGCGGGCCGAGCCTCACCGAGCCGGCCGTCAGTGGAGGTTCGCCGGCTCCTTTTACTTTGCCATCACGGTGATCACCACCATCGGTGAGTGTGCGCGTCCAGGGTCCGCTTTCTCTTTGGCTATGAGGCGGCCTCCCTTCCCCACCCCCCACCCCCGCCCCATCATCCCCTCGGCCGTCCTTCCAAGAAGCCACCTGTGGGTGTGCCCGGCTCTTCCCCCGCCTCGCCAGTTGTAGGTGTGGCGTGAGGCGTCCTGAGGCATCCATCCTTTAGGCCGGGGGTCTCCAAACTTGGCAACTTTAAGACTTGTGGACTTCAGCTCCCAGAATTCTCCAGCCTGGCTGGAAAATTCTGGGAGCTGAAGTCCACAAGTCTTAAAGTTGCCAAGTTTGGAGACATCTGCTCGAGGCTGGATGTGAGCTCTGCACCAGATCTTAAAAGGTATAGCAGTTTAGGGGCCTTGGCATGTAGTAAGGACTGCTGAACCGAGTTTAACATGCGTTCAGGTGAGCATTTAACTCCTCAGTGGACCCAGAGCCCACAAAGTCTCAAGAAACAGATGAGCCTAATCCAAGGGTCTTCAAACTTGGCAAGTTTTAAGGCTTGTGGACTTCAATTCCCAGAATTCCTGAGCTAACATGACTGGAGGAGGAATTCTGGGAGTTGAAGTCCTCAAGTCTTAAAGCTGTCAAGTTTGGATACCCCTGCCCTAGTCGGTGTGATCTTGGTTCCTATCGCTGCTCTTCAGAGGTGGTGTTCAGCAGGTAGCGGAAATTTTGAGTAGATCGTAGAACCGGCAATTACCACCTCTGACTGGCCCCACCCCCATCTATTCTCTGCCTCCCGAGTCCCAGCTGATTGGCTGGGTCTTCTTTTGTTGCCTTGCACAGGAGAATGGAGCTGGAAAGCAGGTTAGTGGGGTGGGGAGGGAATCCTTCCCCACGCCAACCAAGCCACGCCCGCAGAACCAGTAGTAAAAAATTGTGAATCCCACCACTGCTGCTCTTACACCAGCCTTCCCCAGCTTGGTGGTCTCAAGATGCTTTGGGGCTACAAGCTGAGGCATTCTCAGGCAGATTGGCCCACCAGAAATCACTGCTGCAGGCTGCCATCAGTCAACATCAGTTTTTGTCTGCTCCCCAACAATCCCACATTTCAAGCTTAATTTTAGCTTTTTCCTGAACGATAGAATGTACGAGCAAACTATTATGAAAAGCATTTCTGAATATGTACAGAGTACTTTCGCTTGCTCGCAATCCACTTTCCACCTGGAACTGGGCTCACTTACAAAAGAGAAAAGGACCGTACAGGTAGTCCTCAACTTATAACAGTTTACTTGATGGCCATTCAAAGTTACAACAGCCCTGAAAGAAGTGACTTACATCTGTTTTTCACACTTATGACTGTTGCAGTGTCCCCATGGACGTGTGACACAGATGCTTGGCTACTGACTCGTATTTATGACGGCAGCAGGGTCCCTGGGTCATGCGATTCCTTTTTGCGACATTCTGATAAGCAAAGTCAATGGGGAAACCAGTGATTCACTTAACAAATGTGGCAAGAAAAGTTGTAAAATGGGGCAAAATTCACTTCAGAAATTTCTCACTCAGCTGCATAAATTTTGGGCTCAACTGTGGTCGTAAATTCAGGAGTTGAGATGTGAATCCTGCTCACTGGAGAAGTCCAGCATCAATGCCAGTTTAGTGTCCTCACACTGATTGGTTCCCAATTTTCAAGAAAATTAGGATGTATAAGCACTTTATCTCATGAGCTTTCAGTGTGAATTACTGCCATCTTGCTTCAGATCTCTTCTTCCAGTGCTACTCTGGGACTTTTGCAATTACATTACATTTGCTGTAATGTAACTGGTCACTCATCCCCAATTGATCTGGGAAAGTCAAGAGAAAGACCAGGGGAGACATGATAACAGTGTTCCAATATCTGAAGGGCTGCCACAGAGAGGAAGAAAGGGTCAACCTATTTTCCAAAGCACCCAAAGACCACACAAGGAATAATGGATGGAAACTGACCAAGGAGAGATTCAACCTAGAAATAAGGAGAAATTTTCTGACAGTGAGACCAATCAACCAGTGAAACAGCTTGCCCTCGGAAGTTGTGGGAGCTCCGTCACTGGAAGCTTTCAGGAAGAGACTGGACTTCCATCTCTGAGAAATGGTGTAGGTTCTCCTGCTTGGGTAGGGGGTTGGACTACATGACCTACAAGATCCCTTCCAACTCTATTAATCTGTAAACATTTGTTAAGTGATTCACTGCAGTTGTTAAATTAGCAATTGGTTGTTAAATGAATCTGGCTCCCCCATTGACTTTGCTTGCCAGAAGGTGGCAGAACATGATCCCTGAAAACATCCCACTTGAGCGGGGGGTTGGATTAGATGACCTATAAGGTCCCTTCCAACTCTGATTATCTGTTTATCATAAATATGAACCAGTTGCCAAGCGTCCAAATTTTGATCACGTTACCATGGGGATGCTGCAAAAGTAGGAATTGTGAAAAACGGTCACAAGTCACATTTTTCAATACCATTGCAACATTGAACGGTCACTAGATGAACTGTTGTAAGTCGAGGACGACCTATAGTTCACTCATGTAAAGGTGCACGGGTAGTCTTCCATACACAACCATAACGGGACCGGAATTTTCATCGTTAAGCAAGGCAATGAGTCGTGCCTGATCTTAGGGCCTTTTCGCCACCGTTATTATGCGAATTGCTGGAGTTGTTAAATGAATTTTGAGGCTATTAAGCAAATCTGGCTTTCCCAATTGACTTTGCTTTGTTAGAAGCTGGCTAGGAAGGTCACGGCTTGGCAATACCATGACCCTCGGGTTGCTGCAACCATCATAAATACGTGCCAGTTGCCAAGCACCCAAAGTTAGATCACATGGCCAGGCAGATGCTGCAATGGTCTTAAGTGCGAGGACCAGTCACAAGTGCTATTCTGACTTTGAATGGTGGCTAAACCCATGGTTGTAAGTTGAGGATTCCCCCCATATGTCCTATTCTTCTATTGGATATGCGTATCCTCATGGTGTGTGACACAAATTAAATCACTTAAGACAAGAGAAATATTCTCTTCGCTGTTATTAAGCCTGGCATAGGAATGTATTTATGGAGAGAATATATGTATCTTTGGACACTTATTTCTGCCCTGGGTTTCCCCAGCATTTTGGAGAATTGGCAGAAATTGCTTCTTCCAGCATCCATGAAGCAAGTGGGTTTCAAATATTAAAAATTACACATTAATTGCTAACTATACAATTTAGGATATTTTTGTTTTCCCAATCCCCACTATCCAAATGATTGTGTTTGAATTTTGGTTAAAAAAAGAAAAGGACAATATTTGACAGAATATTGCACTGCAACAAGGCTCCTCTCTTTCCACAATAACATAAATAATAGCAAGTACGATTTCCATCTATGGTGATATATTCATGTATCTTTAACTGCCTCTTCTTTGGAGAAGAACTGTTGACATCACTGTTTATGTACAGGATAAAGGGACAAGATTGAATGGGAAAGAATCCATGCAAAGTTGTTCTTGCCAAACCTTGCAGAAAGCGAATTGGCATGTCTGGTTTGCATATGACTCTATCCTTAGAATACCTTCTCTTCCACTGTACTTTTGTGCAACTTACGTTTCTCAACATCCAGTTTTTGATCCCCACTTTCTTTTATCTTGTCGTGCAAATATTGTCTTTACTTCTCAGGAAATCAGGACTTGGATTTCAATTTGGGTAAAGAATGAAGTAGATGAGGGGTTTTCTGAGTGGAGGGATATAAGACATGGAGCCCCGAGTGAGGCAGATCAATGGAAATGTTGCTTTTTAATATTTTTGCAGATAATGTAGAGATCAGGATGGGCAGTAGATGATGCTCATTGATGGTGGGGGTAAGGGATTACAGAGAGGTCTCCAAGCATGTTTCCAAACTGAATGGATAAGCAGTAAGATGTAGCTGTAAGAAATGATAAAGTATTTATTTTATATATGCATGATTTTGACCAGCTGGAAAAAGTGCTGTAATGAGGATACTGTACTCAAAGAAAACATTGACCTGATGTTTGGCAACTGTTTGGTAAAAAGATAATGGTGTAGCACATTTCATAAGGAAAGAAATTGAAAAGAAAAAAACTCCCATCATTTTATAATGCCTATAAACAAATCTAGAGAGTAATGACATTTGAAATATTTATTTGTCTACCATCCAAAAAAGAAAAGAAAGAAAATTGGGAAAGATTTTTAAAAATACAAACAAAATAATAAATAGATACCGTTAATGCATAAAGAAAATAAGCCCTGTAGGTTTGGAATGGAAATTCATAGTTCAGCTTTGCCAATAAGTCTACAAAAGCAACTACCAAACAAATATTTACTAGGTTTCTGTCAATACAATTTCGTGCCTGGAACTAATTCATGTTCCACTCAATAAACCGGGTGTGAACAAGCTGGAGTTATTGCTTGTAGGCATCTTTGTTTCTAAATTTACTGAGAGTAGTAGCCTTTTAGTGAACTGGCTACGCAAGAAGGGTGTTGGATAGAGAAGACCAGAAAGCTTTTCTGATGGTTCTCAAACTTGGTAATGAACAAAACAAGTTTCACTTTGCCCTCTTGAGTAACTCCACTCGCTCATTCTTCTTGGGGTCTTTAACAGTGATCAAGTCAGGAAAAATGCAAACAAAGTATATAATGCTAGGTATCGCCATCATCTTTAACACCTTCAGCAGCAAGTGTTTTTAATTCTTGGAAAGGATTATCAATAATCTCTAGTGTGAACGTGGGAGCCTTGTTCTACTATGTACTATACAGAGGTGGTATTCAGCAGGTTCTAATCAGTTCCTGGAGATCTGGTAGCGGAAATTTTGAGTAGTTTGGAGAACCGGCAAATACCACCTCTGACTAGCCCTGTCCCCATCTATTCTCTGCCTCCTGAGTCCCAGCTTATCAGCTGGGTCTTCTTTTCTTGCCCTGCACTGGAGAACTGAGGTGGAAAGCAGGTTAGTGGGGTCGGGAGGGAATGGGATTTTGCAGTATCCTTCCCCTGCCATGCCCACCAAGCCACACCCACAGAACCGGTAATAATTTTTTTTGAATCCCATCACTGGTACTATAGATTAATATCAAGTTTTCTTCAGATATCAACATACATTGAGCCAGTAAATGATTGCTTGTGTTTTCTAAGGTGTCATATCATTTCACGTTTGCATTTCTTCTCATCATCGTCAAATAGCTGATCCTTCAACACGTGTGAGAGGTTTCATCATCTTTTCTTTGTGTATCATATTGTATAGGGGAATATCTAGTTCTTGACTGCGACATCACCCGTCGTCCCCACACAGGGAAAGGCAGTTACCTGAAATTTCCATTACTAAGCTAGTTCTTAAAATAGGGTGGACTGTGATTTTGTTTCTGTCTTAATTTTTAATACAAGTTTCTCTTTTTATTTCCTTGTTTTGCTGCAGGCTATGGGCATGCGGCTCCTGGAACTGATGCTGGCAAAGTGTTTTGCATGTTCTATGCCATCCTTGGCATCCCGCTCACTCTGGTGATGTTCCAGAGCCTTGGGGAGCGCATGAATATTCTTGTTCGGATGGTGCTAAAAAAAATAAAGCAGTGCCTGGGAATGAGGCAGACAACAGTCTCCATGAAAAACATGGTTGTAGTTGGTTTTCTCTCATGTATGGGGACCTTAGGTATCGGGGCAGCTGCCTTTTCCTATTTTGAAGGCTGGACTTTCTTCCATGCCTTTTACTACTGCTTCATAACGTTGACCACCATTGGATTTGGAGACTTTGTCGCCCTGCAGAAACACGAAGCTTTGCAGAAGAAGCCTCCCTACGTAGCGTTCAGCTTTATGTACATCTTAGTGGGCTTGACAGTGATTGGGGCCTTTCTTAACTTGGTGGTCTTCAGATTTTTGATCATGAACTCAGAAGATGAGCGTCGGGATGAAGAAGAGAAGGCCTCTTTAAGGAGAGCCAGAAATTACATCAACTTGAAACCCAGGGAAGATAGCAGGAGTACAAACGAGATCTTGCTCCCTGTAGAAGACAGGACCAGTCAGATGAACCTCATCCCATTGATCCAGGATGATGCTGAGCACCAGAGAAGCAAACCTTTGGTTTCTACCACAAAAGTCCCTTCCTTTTGTACGTGCCTATGTTACAGGCCACAGATGAGCAGAAGCCCAGATCCGCCCCATTCTGAACCTTTCAATTGCCATACAAATCTGGTTTATTACAACTCAATTTCTTACAAAATCATGGAAGTCTCCCTAGGTGGTAAGGATCACACTGGCCTGTCTTCTCCTGGCAGTACTTTGTCATCTGATAGTCCCAGTTGCCGAGGGCACTCCAGAGTCCGGAGAAAGTCTATTTGAAAGCATGCATGCTCTTTCGAACTTTTTTTTTTAAAAAAATTTTCTTGGGCCTTTGTCCTGCTACTGAACAGTGTTTTTTGACGATAAATGGTGAACTGAATTGTCAGATAGTGGTGGAGTGCCCTCCTTTCTTTCTTCTTCCCCCTTTTCTTTGCAGGCACATGCTGAAATGTCTACCCATGTATATTGCATTCCTGCTAAGCCTGTGCAATGCTGCCTGAGCAATGCCCTTTGAAAATTAATGCTGAATAATAGTTCTCCCATCAACATATGTCACAACGTTTGCATTCAAAGCCGAGGTTAAATGGATTTAAGTACTAAAACCCCACAGTGCCTCTGAGTTGCCATAACATCTGTGGAGATGTCTAATTATTCCTTTGCAGTAAATATACAGATAATACTCAGTTGTATTAAGACAGCCTGTAGACTCAGCTTGTCTTGTTTTTGTCGAAGAAGTTGACAGATCTATACCCTAAAAGAAACAGTGAACAGATGTCAGGCTTGTAGGCTAAGTATTCTGCAAAAGGGCAAAGAATGGACACAAAGTTTGGGAGCATCTTCAAGTCTAACCAGCTTTTATAAGGCATAAGCTTTGGAGCATAATGAAGTTGGTTAGTATTGGCTGTACTCTACCAGGCTTTGTATCTGTTGTATTGTCATAGATAAATATGGTTCTTTACACCCCTATCATCCCATCTTCTGCTCTTCACTTGGGAAGAAAGGATTCTACAAGTTTATTACAGGAATCAAACACGAACAGAGTTCATGGTCTTTCCTCATAAAAATCTGAATCATCTTAATTTTTTGCAGGTTACATTCAGGCTGGGAGATATTGCTATTGTTCAAGAATTGAGAACTAAGAATCTGTATGGCTCTAATTCAAATCAGTCAATTCTAGTAACTAAACCAGATTTACCTTGTGACTACAGGCAGATATCCTTTAGTGACTGCCTAATTTATGGGCAGTTCACAGTAACAACAGTGATGAAGCAGTAACTTTCCAAACAACCCATTTACCATCTTTGCTGGTCTGTAAGGCAAAGGAATGCTGAATTAAGGTCATAAGCATAGTCACAGTTTCATTTAGCAACCACTTCACTTAACAACAGAGTAGTTGTGGTTACTAAACAAGGACTACCCATACTTGTGGCCTACTGGGGTTTCTTTGCAATAGAAGTTACAAAGAAGTTCTGCTTTCTCACCACAACTGTCTTTGTCTACAGTAGCGGTGCACATCTTTATATATCAAAGGTTATTTGGAGGGATGTTGATAGGTAGATGCTTCCATTCAGATTTTTTAGATCAGTGTTTTAATTGCTCTCCCATTTGGAGTTCTGGATTTGAAATATTCAGGGATGAAGGTGGGTGGGCTTATTTTAAGGCCAATCAGCAAATCAGCATAACCTATCTCATCTGAAAATGGGGAGGACTAATGGTGCCTCAATTAAATTTATTTATGTGCATGTATTTACAAGTGTTTTAGGCCACTGAAAACAGCCATATAGCTGTTCACCAGACACGAATGATAATCTATCATAGTCTCATCAATCAGGCTACACAGCCATGTGCATCTCACTTCATTTTAGCTATACAAATGGCATATTTAGAAACTTATTTGCATACACAGTGGTAGGAAATAATATTGTTTAGTGATATCACTTTAGGAGCTGAAAACAGTATTCAGGAGGAGTGGGAAGAAAGATACTATAAAAAGTATCTTTATGGTTTAAAAAGGTTTTTTTAAACCATAAAGAAACAAAGCACAGCAGCAATTTATATAGCCAACTTTCACATACAGACAGGATCCAATTAAAGGCATCACTCAGTCTGGAAATCATTATGGAGCAGTTGCATGTCTTTAGCCCTTCTCTTGGTTTATTTTTATTCCAAGACTTCCAGTGTTGCTAGGGTCTCTCAACTGCCTTTCTCCCAGCTGATAAAACTGGACGAGGCACAGAAGATGACATTGTTCCTTGGGCCCCCTAGCTTACATGTCTGCAATCCAGTTTGTGGCCTTTGGAAGAAAGCCAATCAACCTGTGCTAACCATCAGAAAATCTCACCTGATCCTCTGCAAATCCCAATCATTGTTAGAAATGTTTTCCACATTTTCCTCCCGGTTTAGAAGACCAAATGGAGTGACGTATCTGAGGGGTAACAGATTGGGGAGCAGCCAACTGTGATTCACAATTTCTGTTATTGCTACCTCCCTCCCTAGTCCCCTTTCTGAAGAGCTTGCAATCTGGTTTGATTAATATTGGCAAAGCTAGGCAGAGTAAGAACCCGAATAAGAGTAAGAATTAGAATTAATAGAACAGAACAGAATAGAATAGAGTTCTGAGCCCTGTGGAGACATATTTGCAGGCTTGAAAATTCATGAATGCCACTAAAAAAGAAAAGGAAACGAAAAGGGAACCTTGGTGCATCAAAGACTGAAACCAGCCTTGGAGTAGCAGTATCTTTCCTGGCTACAGACCCCTTTGGCAGCTCTACCCCTCAATATATGCAATTACAAAATGGAAAAGAGATCAAGTTAGATGAGAAACTTTATGTCTTTCATAGCCTGCTGCTCCGGCAGCTGCTGATGACTTGATTGGCAGATAACATGGAAAATAATGGCAACAGGAGGTTGCTGTTTTCCCTTTGGCAACCCAAGGGTTTATTTCATATCATTTTTTTGGTTCACTTGCGATAGCAGTTGCAAGGCTAAAATCTTTTTACAAGGGCCAAGGATAGTGTTTACATTATTATTTAGGTTCTGCGGTGCCTTCTTGGCTTGGTTATTTTGGTTCTGTTTCTAGTTTAGAATAGAATAGAATAACAGAGTTGGAAGGGACCTTGGAGGTCTTCTAGTCCAACCCCCTGCTTAGGCAGGAAACTCTATACCATTTCAGACAAATCTGAATTGTCCAATATCTTCTTAAAAACTTCCAGTATTGGAGCATTTACAACTTCTGGAGGCAAAATTGTTCCACTGATTAATTGTTCTGTCAGTAAATTTCTTAGTTCCAAACATACGAAGTTAACGTACACAAAGCATTCTTGCTGTCAAAGGATTTGAGGACCCTCCATCTCAGAAAACCCTAAGCTACATTTCCTCATTGGGCAGCCTCCACCTAGTCATTGGGTTCAGGCCAATTCAGATATTCTCTGTGTCCTACATTGCTAGAATGTGTGCTGTGATTTTACGCTGAAAAATCTGCAGTATCTTTTCTAAAATTGGGAAGATCACCTCTGTGCAATAGAGGATTGGCCTATGTTGCCTGAAACTCAGAATGGTAACTACAGTGCTGGGAGCAAAAATGACACCCCTCCCCCCCAGTTAGATTATTAAAATAGGCACACCGAAAAAGCAGCACTAATGTCTTAACACTGAGTTCCAGTCTTAAGTGTAATGATTAATTTGGCACAATGGCTAATTACTTTTTAATTTAGTTTCTTGTACAGTGAATGCAGAAGCTTCCCCTCCTGTGCCGCCATAGGAATGCAGTAGGAGTTGTACTTCAATAAGTCGGCCTAGCATTTTCAGGCTTCCACAGGAAGTGAGCAGGCTTCTAAATTGCTTCAAACTAATTTGAATAATAATTGCAAATCAGGCTTAGGCTTGGTGAATGAACCTAGTTATGACTTATTCAACAGCCTATGTGTAACAATGGCTTCGTGTGACATATGAACCTTAGCTATTACATAAGAAGTTGTTTTTCTTAAACAAGGTCCATTTGCCCATCTAGTCCAGAAAAATCTAGCTAGATCTTTTGGTGATAAGGGAAATTCCAGAGATTTTTTTTAATCCATAATTTTTTTAGTTACAGTAGAGTCTTACATACCGGTATATCCTTTTACATGTAAAGCAGGCATATTGCAGAGGAAGAGATGTTCTTATTCCTTTCACAAGAAATATATTGTTATATTTATTGCTTGGCAGTCTCCGATGGTTGCTGAACAATATGGGGCTGTGAAGCTAGCTTATTTATAATATTAAGTCTCTTAAAGTATAATAACTGTTGAAAGGCATGGATGATTAGCATAATTTTTCCTTTTTAAAAAGCCCAATTTTGTTGCATATTATATGGAAATGTATGTGTTTCAGTAAACACACATTGTCTTGCTAATGAAAAAAAATGGAAAATCTTATTATGCAGTAGTTTGAAGCAGAATATCTGTGCTTGCCTGTTGATGATTTAATCTCAGGATGTGGACCAGATACCTGATTCTAGGCTTATTCTAGTATATATATTTTGGGGGGCGGGAGGGAATCCCCTTTCCAACTTTGGGCCTGAGGAGTGTCTCCCATCAATTAGCATGGAAGAAACTATAAATGGCTGCATCTTTTTCAACAGATGTATTTATTATGAGGAATCAGTAAGTATATCCGAAGGAATCAAGTTGCTCAATTTTTTTTAAAATGGATGCCACAGATATAGATCAAGGCCCCTTTAAGTTTTTTTTTCAACAATGGTAATGCGATTTTTGAAATTGGTTTAGCAAGCAAATTTAGAAAGATGTTAATTTGATGGTGGGGAGGGAGAATTTATTAATCCCACTTATTGTTTAATGGGTAAAGTCACTGTAGAAGCCTAAGGCAGGGAACCTGCAAATTACTAAACAAAAGAAGGAGGTTCATTGTTATTTTAACTTTTCTCTGCTATAGTTACCAGGTGCTGGGCAACATTAAAATACTTCTTATGCAGTTAGTCTAATAACCCATCTAAAGTAATACAAAATTAACCTATATTAAAGCCTATAAATAACAGACTTTGAATAACGTGGGTGCAGCAGCAGCATGAGACATCAAATGTCTAGGAAATGAAAAATGATTCCAGCAAGATTGAAAGTAAGTTTTATACTGATTTTAATATAATTTGTCTAGAAGACTCTGTTCAAACAACTGCTTTAATTTGGGTATGTTTTCTAAAAAGATATAAGTGCTCAGGTCCATTTTGTTACTACATATGGATGGTGCCTAAACTTTTCCAGTGGTTCCTTATGTCCATCCAGAGGGACCATCTTCATGAGAAAAGATATTCTGTATTCTTCCTTCAAATATTTCTGTACTTGCTCTAAGTAAAGAACTATTTCAAATTAAAGTGTGACTTTATTCCACTCTACGGGTATGCACAAAATGGGGAAACTATCTTCCTGAACCATTTCAGGCCAGCTATATGTCTATAGAGGTTCTAGGTCATTCTGGTCACGGTTGTCCCAAAGGTGCTTTTTCAAGAGGCAACTGGACTTTCTGGGTTTTCTTTGAGGACATTTTCCTTCTCATCCAAGAAGCTTCTTCAGTTCTCAGAGCTTCATATGCAGCTATGGTTGCATAAAACTGAAAATCAGAGTGGGGGGGTGGTCAAGGCTGGTCTCTCTTGAACCACGTAGATAGATTCCCCCCAACTCAATCTTCCCAGA